GGGATGGATTCAAACTAAAAAGCTTCTCAACAAAAGAAACAATCAGTGAGGTAAATAGAGCCTAAAGAATGGGAGAAATTTTTTGCCACACCCACATCAGATAGAGCACTAATATCTAGGATATATAAAGAACTCAAAAATCTTAACACCGAAAAAACAAATAACCCAATCAATAAATGGGCCAAGGGAATGAGCAGACACTTCTCAGAAGATGATATACCATCAATCAACAAAAATATGAAAAAATGTTCAACATCTTTAGCAATTAGAAAAATCGAAATCAAAACCACTCTAAGATTTCATCTCGGGCTGGGGATGTCGCTCAAGCAGTAGTGCAATCGCCTGGCATGCGTGGGGCACTGGGTTCAATCCTCAGCACCACATAAAAATAAAATAAAGATGTTGTGGCCACCTAAAACTAAAAAATAAATATTAAAAAAATTCTCTCTCTCTCTCTCAAAAAAAAAAAAAAAAGATTTCATCTTACTCCAGTTAGAATGGCAGCTATTAAGAATACAAACAATAGTAAGTTTTGGTGAGGATGTGGGGAGAAAGGCACACACATTGCTGGTGGGACTGCAAATTGGTGCAACCACTATGGAAAGCAGTGTGGAAATGCCTTGAAAACTTGGAATGGAACCACCATTTAATCCAGCTATCCCACTCCTTGGTCTATACCCAAAGGACTTAAAAATACTAAAGGGACACAGCCACATCAATGTTTATAGCAGCACAATTCACAATAGCTAAACTGTGGAAGCAAACTAGATGCCCTTAAGTAGCTGAACGGATAAAGAAAATGTGATATATACATACAATGGAACATTACTCAGGGGAATAAAATCATGGTATTTGCAGGTAAATGGATGTAGTTGGAGAATATTATGCTAAGTGAAGTAGGCCAATCCCCAAAAAACAAATGCTGAATGTTTTCTCTGATATGAGGACACTGATCCATAATGGGAATGTGGAGGGCATGGGAGGAATGGAGAAACTTTAGAAAAAATTTAGATAGAAAAAATTTTTCCTTCATTGCAATTTTTAGGAGGGCTTTTGTTTTTTCAGAGAAAGGATCTTTTATGTTTTCATTAAAACATAATAAACTTGAGCTGGGGATATAACTAAGTAGTAGAGTATCTGCTTAGAATTCATGAGGCCCTGAGTTCACTCCCCAGCAACACACACACACACACACACACACACACACACACACACACTAAAACAATTTTAAAAACTTCCAACATAATAAACTCTTTAATATAATGGTAGTTCATTAAGGTTCCTAAGAAGTATTCAGCAACCAGCACAAAGTCACATCCCTAGTGAATGGCAGAACCTGGATTAAAAGTAAGGCACACCTATCTGACTTCAATGCTCTGGCTCTTTCCACACAACTGTAGTGCCTCATTCCTTATGCACAGGTTTGTTTGTATGACAGTTATCTCCTGATAGTATATTTGTAATGGATATAATGAAAAGAATTAGATAACAGAAAGAATATCTACACAACAGAATGCACGAAATTAAACAGCCTATTCAAAATAATTCTTTTAATGTATTTTCACTAAAAAAACAATAGTTTCACTTATATAGTACTTACTATGTGCTAAACACAACTTAAGTGTTTTGCTTAATATATATGCTAATTTAATGTTTGCAATAATCTTTTGAGGTGGTCTTATTATTATCCCCTTTTAAAGATGAGGAATCTGAATGATAGTAACACTCTCCAGATCACAGAAAGTGATGGACTGATTAGGCAGTAGAGTTCCAAAGTCTATGCTTTTACACTTCTTCTCAGAGCAACATTTCTTACAGGAACAAATATTTCACCAATTAGCTGAAAATTTTAGGACAGAAAGTTAAGATGGACAGCATACATAAGTAAAACTGAATGCTATAGTAGTAAAAATTGGTGAATAATACGTTGAAAATTTAGTAGTAACATCTTAAATTCATGATTTATCATCCAACAGAGATAGACTTTTATGTCCACAAAGAACTAAAAAATAATGTTTCCGAAACCTGCATTTAAATGAGTTATTTATCCTGTAAATAACTATTGGATTCTGTTTGGGTATTTCTACTCTTTAAAGTTTCTAGATTTTCTAAAGTCTACCATTTGAATATTTATAGGATTTAGTGAATTGAAATTGACCACTATATTTTATCTCTAAGAGCTGTCATATAAGATGTGATATTTACATATATGAATGCACATATATTTTTCATGTGTAATAAAATATTTAATCTTAAACTTATATAATAGAGTTGATACTTTATGCTTCCTTATAAACAGAGTGATGTGTATTTTCTACTAAGATTTCAGAATACTAGGGTTATGGTTTTCATGACTGAGAAAATCTTGAATATCACTGTCTTAGACTTTTATCAAGAATATGGAATTCATTCAAAATAGGATGTAATCAGTGTACAGAGAATATCAATAAAATGCACAGATTATGTAATAAGATTGATAAATTAATAATTGAAAGATTAGAAAAGTTCAAAAACAGTTGGAATTCTCACATCAAAGTTTGTTGCTTTGTCTTCTCAAACTGTAATACAAGTTCCACCACAGAAACCCAATTCCTAAATAAAATGTTCTATCTTTACACCATTTTGAAATGTTCAACCTCTGAGAATTCTGAACATCATTAAATCATGATAACCTAAACTCAAAATCATTCATTTTCATGTTCTTGGTAAACACTCTTTCCCATCTTCCATGGTAGTTACTCTTAACTGTATAATTTTTCACACCAGCAGAAACCCTGGCTTACAATCACTATTCTCACTTATTTCTTTTCATTATTTCCCATCTCCTTTCCCTTCCTTCTTCAATTTGGCTTACATCTCTAACAACTTCATTGAAATCAATCATGCAAAGATCATATATGATTATTTTTATCATTTAACAACTTATTTGTCTTTCTCCAGAATTTGGTTCTGTTGATAGTACTAATTCTTAAATTGCTCTTTTTTATTGTTTTTTTTTTTTAAATAAATGACAGCAGAATGCATTACAATTCTTATTACACATATACAGCACAAGTTTTCATATCTCGGGTTTTATATAAAGTATTTTGATACCAATTCGTGTCTTCATACATGTACTTTGGATAATGATGTCTATCACACTCTTCTTTTAATATTTGTTTTTTAGTTGTATTGACATAATACCTTTATTTCACTTATTTATTTTTATGTGGTGCTGAGGATCGAACCCATGGTCTTACACATGGGAAGCGAGTGCTCTAACGCTGAGCCACAACCCCAGCCCCTTGGATTGATATTTTTTCTTGAATTTTCCACTTTCATGGATATCCTACTGTCTTTAAAATATTCTTTTCAACAGTTTTGTGGATCTTATTCTTTCACACATTCCCTAAGTATAATTAAATATTGGTTATCCCCGAATTTCAATTCTTGGTTTGCTTCTTATTCTTCATATATTACTGACAATTCCATTTATTTCAATGACATCATTTAAATGAGGAATCTCTGTCTCTAGCTAAGACTTCTCTCCTGAGTTTCGGTTTCCTATATCCAATGAATACAATTATATCTTTATACCTGAATATTCCAATGAACCTTAAACTCAACCCCTCTCAAAATTAACTCTATCTTTCCTGAAAACTTGTAAAACCTATGTTACCTATCAAATAGTACCACCATCTATCCAAAGATTACAATAACCTAACATTATCTTATTCTTCCTCTTCGGACATCAGTAATGTCCACTGGATGATTGATTTGTAGATTCTACATCTTCAAATAAATTCTCACACACTGACTGCTTCTACTATATAATTTAACAGATCATTACCATCCCTTAACTGATGTATTGCAATGTCTGCATAAATAACTTCTGTTTATATAAATCTAGTCCTTCTTTTACATACCTGCTAAAGTAATCTTTCTAAAAGTAAATATCTTACTTTATTTCCATCGCTTCACATGCTTCAATACCCTACACAATCTTCATGAATCCTATCCCTGCCTTCTTTTGCCCAAACTTATTTGAAGCATTTGGATATATTGCTTTCTTTGCCTTAATGCTGTCTGTACAACATTTTTTAGTTTTTAATATTCAACTCAATGGTCATGTCTTCTATGAAGTTTTTCTTGAATTAACATCCATTTTTCTTAAGGGGAAATAATCTCATTTTTCTCTTATGATTTCACTGTATTCTATAAAGGGGGAATTTTTACATTGTACTTACAACTAATTATTGCCTGTATTTGTTGGACACACACCAGAAAAAATCCAAAAGGATGGGGAGCTGTTTTGTTCATCCTGTTATTTTACAGGATGAACACCTGGAACAGCACCATATAGCATGTGTTGAATAAATTAGCACTAAATGAATAATTGAGTTTCAGCTTAAGTCCATAAATCCTTTCTGTCTATTTTAAATGATTTTACTTGACTTTATAACTTTGAGAATATGTTGTCAGAATCATTCATACTGACACATAAACATAGCATGTTACCCACTCTTTTGATTCCTCAGTGATACTGAAAACTATTTTAGTTTTTTGGTATCTTCCATAGACTAGACCAAACATTGCTGAATTCATAACAGGGATAAAATACTTATAGAATTATGTAAATAGCTGAAAACAAATTTTAATGATAAAATAACCTTAAAAATAAATTATGATTAATTTATTATTAACATAGCTGACTTTCTTTCATGAACAAATGCATAAATATATATGTGTATATATATTATATCTGCAATAATCTATCTGGTTATGTAAAATATATATACATACATATTACATAAAAATTACTTGTTTTACTGTTATCCAAATAGGAGCAGCCGTTGTTAAAATTGAGCATATAAAGACCTTTAAAAGCCTGCAAAATTTAACATTGTCTGATATTAGAGAAGAATGAAAAATTATGAAATGAGTAAAAAATGGTAAAAAAATTTCTAGGACAAGTTAGATACGTGGAAACATAACAAAGAAAAGCAATAGAAGAGACAGACCTGCATATCTTCTCCTTGGGGAGTCCACTTCTTCTGTGATCACATCATGTAATGGACAGACATAGACAAAGGAGATGGGTGTGAGTGGATGTACTCAAAAGGTAAAAGTGACACTGAAGGAAAGGGTCCCAAATCATTTTGAGAAAAAATCCTGTGCATAGGTTTTAGGGAAGATATAATCAAATACATACCACACACACAAAAAAGAATCATGTAAGGATTAATGGCAAATTACTTTAGCTACTATAGATGAGCAGAATCAGAAAAAATAAAGTTAGTGCATAAATAAAGAGTATCCAAAAGATTACAATTATTTTTGTACTGCCATTCTTGAACACTGATGCTGCAGAAAGATATCATTAGTAAAACCAATATTAGTTGTATGACCACATTTTCAAGCCGTTACTGAGGTCCATTGAAAATCTGTGGAAATTCTTTTAGATATTTAATTATTTGATGAAAAGAATTTAACTGAGTCATCATCAAAAAGAGCAGTCAAAATAGTTCAAAAATAGTTTCAAGAGATACCTATGCTTATTAAGTTTCCCAAACAAAACAGTGTGCACATGAAAATAAAGTATAGCCATCTGGACAATTTCACTGAATAACTTGAACACAGTAAAATATTATCATAAAATACTATGAACTAATAAATATAATATAAATCATTATGAGAAGAGTTGCTGAAATATATGGCTTTATTTTATTACTATAAATTCAAATTAACCTTCAATTTAAATAAAGTTTCTTTGGTCTGATTCCCTTTTAATTTCTATATATTCAGAATATTCTTGCAAAGACCACATTATAGATCACCAAAGTTTCTACGAAAATGTACCCATCCAACTTAAATATCTACTAAAATAGAGCACAAATTTTGGAATCACTTCTTTCCCCATTGCTAGTGAAGAAGTTCAAAAGGTAATTTATATAGTGATTTGAAAGTAAGAAAAAAAAATTCTGCAACTGAAGAAAACTGAAAAACCTAGCAAGTGAAGAAAAAAGAGTCCTTCAAAATATTAGTAATGTTAATATGATTAACTCAAATTAATAATGCAATACAAAAAGCAAAACATTTCCTATTTTAATTACCCATTTAGCCCTGAATCTGAGACCACAAAATTCTTAAATACAACAGTCAATTCTGTAATAGTTGTATGATGACTTCTGAGCAATTTTTGGAAAAAATGTTGGATTATCAATTTATTGAAATTACAACTCCTGAGAGAATTAGTTCCTATAACAAACTTATCTTTTATGAATAGTGAAAAAGGAAAAACTTTCTACTTTTAAGAAAGTAATAAGATGACCCAATATTTCTGAGGAAAAAAAGAGAAGTTCTAGTATAAACTATATAAAATTGAAACATAAGTGACACATATTGAAGCTAAACGATATTCTTTTATTATTTTATATGCACATTTTTCACCTATTCAAAAATCAGACACTCATCACAATTGTATTCCAAACTGGAAGCTACTAATAGGATTGACCGCTAGGAAAAACAAAACAAAACAAAAATATACTGAAATATACTCATACACATTAAAATGATATATGCTTTTTGTTCTTTTCATTCCCAGTCCACCTATTTCTTAACGAAGGTAAGACAGAATCATCACTGTTATATTAACAAAGGACAATGTTGATCGGTATCATATCTTGCTTATGGTTTACACACAGAATCTCCCTACCTAAACATTTACCATTCTACTAAAATAGTATCTTCAGATGTTAAAATGAAATTGGTATGAACTGAATAAAATAATTACTTATATATACTCCATCTCTAAAAATACATTTTAATTTTTTTTTGCAGAAAACATAAGAAATCCACACATAAAAGAAGTTTCTTTCTCTATCAAGTGTTTTTCTGTATCTTGGATTACTTTATATACCATTGATGTAATGATTTTCATCTTATAATAAAGATTAAAAATATTAAATTCTTCTCAACTCTTTATTATAATAAGTAAGGGACACATGTAGAGTTCTAGTGACTTACCCAATGTCACCAAACAAGTTCAGTGGTAAAGCCAGATAGAAAAGATGGTTCCTGATTACCCAGTCAATTTTCTATCGACTAGATATTATAGGACCCAATAAAATATATGAAATAAAAAGTCAAACAAGTAAGAAATGAACAAAAAAAAATCCTCTCATGATGTCCCCTGAACTGGACATTTATCGTATAGCATTTAATTAGAAACATTTTTAAAAAGAGGTACATGATACAGCCAGTCAAGTAATCCACCAATTCTTTCATTCTTGTAAGGAATATGGTAACACTTATCTCAGAACCAGTAATTAAAAGCAATTATAGATAATAATACAAAATTCATATTACTCATAATGGGATGAAAATGAAATGCCTTGACCACAAAACATTAATTAAAAGTATCCATTAAATCATTTTCCCATTGTTTATGTGAATATGATGTATTAATAAACAGATCACAACTAAGCTTGTGAAAAATATCTTTACCAGAAAAAATGTTCATGCAAATCATAAGATCTCAATATAGAACTATAGTTATAACAAGTATAACTATTTTTTGGGGGGGGGCTTTCTTGCCTTCTTTGTGGTTACAGTTTTATTATGTACTGTTTGCAATAAAATAAATCCTCATTTTGAAGGAGAAACTTACAATGGTTTCATTTATGAAATTGTCTTACTAAAATGGTAACAAGCCATAATTATTTTGCCTGTAGTATTATAATGAATAGCAGACTTTGGTGAATCTTGAGAGAAGAGTTTCCCTTCTACTTTTCCCATCTCTATACCTTTCCTTTGATCCTTACTATGCCACAGTCCAATATTATACTTTTCAGTGCTGTTAATGACAATTTGAAAAAAACTCTTCTTTCTTTTAACTAATAACCATTTACAGCCACCTCTATATCCAGTAAACCAGAGTCTTCATTTAACCATGCAAGACCAGTGAAGAGTGATTAGGATAGTAAAAGTATTCTTTCTCTTAGGTATCCATCACTACCACAAATATGGCTGAATCTTTATTTTAGACTTAGCAAACAAAGACTTTGTAAAGAGAATGTAGTGTTTGTGTTTTGTTCATTATATCACATGAAATAAAAGATTTTCTCAAATCACAATGAAAGAAAAAATTTATAGAACAACCAGGCATGGAGGCCAATGTCTGTAATCCTAGTGACTCAGGAGGATAAAACTGGAGGATTCCAAATTTGAGGTCAGCCTCAGTAACTTGGTGAGACTCTGTCTCAAAATAAAAAAATAAAAAGGAATGGGGATGTAGTTCAGTGGTAAGGAGTTTCTGGGTTAAATCCCCAAATCAAAGAAATAAAAATATTTATAAAACACAATGAGTAACTCAGAAGCACTATTTCATTAATTACATTAAATTTTCTTCAACAAATATTTTAAATTTTAATGGAATAACAAGTTGCAAACTATAAAAAGTAAGGATTGATTTTTTTTAAGAGAGAGAGAAATAGAGAGAGAGAATTTTTTAATATTTATTTTTTAGTTTTCGGTGGACACAATATCTTTATTATTTTTATGTGGTGCTGAGGATTGAACCCAGCGCCCCGTGCATGCCAGGCGAGCGCGTTACCGCTTGAGCCACATCCCCAGCCCAGGATTGATTTTTAATAAAGCAAAATACCATAATGTTCCCATGCATGTTCATATACAAACACTCCTTCTCTCTACAAATATCTACATTTTGTTTTTTTAATTAAAAATCTACCAAAATTTATATATATAAAATCACTTTCATTAAGCATAAAAAGTATGATAAGGGGAATAAATATAGTGTTAGCTGTTATGTAAAATTTTGTGTGAACCAAAAATTCTTCCCTTGCCAATATAATGGTTTAACTAATACCATTTTTGAAATAAACATATTATATGAAGTTAAAACAAATGATAATCTGCAATCAACTTTACTTAAAAAGGCAACGCATGGTTGCCTGTTTACTCATGAGTATAGTTTTCACCAAGGGTATGCAATATCTATTTGAAACTCTGTTGCTGTGCTAATGTTCCCACCTATCACCATTTACAACAGGCATACCTTAGTCCTGTTACCAGATTTAATTGTGCTTGAGTTGATATTTATCCTAAAGGAGCAAACATTATGTTAAAATATTCCTAACACAATGACATAGAAGCCTGAAGATTTTAGGTAAGAAACAAAACATTTGCACATAACTAAAAGTTATATGAGTATGAGGATAATATGAGGATTTATTAAAGGTAATAGATTTTTAGATTTTTTTTTTTTGAGATGGGGAAGCTACGTTTCAAAAGAAAGCCTAAATAAACATGCACTTAGGAGGATCTCAGTGATACAAAGATAAGGATAGAGCAGTTTTAAATTTGTATATCTGCACTAGGTCCTAGAATCAGGCTCCTGTGTATAAAGAGGGAAGCCTATATTTACTTCTTAAGGTATGAGGAACATTTAACTACAAAATTTCATCAGCTGATTTATTTTATAAAACATTTACTTAATTTTTCTTACATCATTTTTCCCATTAAGAATAAACTATACTCATTCTGTAACAATCCAAGAATAATTTTAAAATACCTAATAATGACCAAGAATATAATCCTGATTCATTTTTCCAGACTGGATGGATTAAACTAGCATCAAATTAGAAGACCAGTTTAGAATGATACTTTGGACTGAAATAAATTGTTCCTACTTTAAAGAAATCCCAAATATTCAGGAATAAAAGGAAAAAGAAGTGTAAGATATGAAAATACTGAAATTTAAGTATAAAATTAACAAAACACTTCACTAAATATTTATTTTCCTTAAAATAAATTTTATAAAACATGATCCAAGTTAAAATTAGGTAATGAGAAATTTCTAACTCTGCTATGATTATTTACTGTTTTTACTGTTAGAAATTGCTAATCCTACTATTTCTGCATATTGTATCAATTAACACTATGAATATCAAATTATTAACTATCATTATAAATTACATTAAAAATACAATATGGAAACATCCACATAGGAAAAAAACTAGAAATTAATACACTA